AGGGAGGGAGGGAGGGAGGAGGCTCCGGCCGGCGGGACACAGATATTGAATAGAAGATGAATGTTGCGCCGATTTAAGAACAAAATAACACCGGATCACAAAAGATTCGACACAAGCAAAATATGGCTCACACGAGGAGGGCACCGCGGCCTCCCCTGTCTCTCCTCGGACTTCCAGTGAGGATGATGGATGAGGTACCTTCATTGGTCACACACGCTCCAGCGTGTGTGAGGACTGTCCACCTTTACAGGTCCCCTGTGGATGCTGACCAGTCCATATATCGGAAATAAATGTCTCCTTGCTTCTCCCCCCCTGTCCCGGCAGGCCCATCGTGGCAGCAGGCTCCCCTCTCTTAAGCGGACCCCCTTTCCACAGACGCTTGATCTGTTACCTGTTAAACCCTTCCTACTATCATTCCCCCTCTTTTCCCCTCCAGCCTTCCGTTCGGTTTGATTTTGTGAACGTGATTCATGACTCGCGGGGCTGGCTTTGAATACAAGTACATGCACAGTATCCAAGCTATCCTTACTGGAAGGTAAACGCCTGGAGACAGACACCGTCTGTCTCCCCTTTCTCGACTTCACCCGTTCCTGGCACCCTCCGTCTTCAGTGTATTGACTATATATTCCTACTTTCACCGCGCCGCGCATGTGTACAGTTCATCAATCGTAGCTGTCAGGCTCGTCAAGGCGCACCACGGGGACGCTGTCGCCCCATTCTGCCATAATTTTTATGCGTGCATTTGTTTCGTAAGATAGAGATGGCGTAAGGCCGCACATGCACCTGTAAAGGCTGCGTTGTAGTCGATGGCCACTGACAAAGCCAGGCAGAGGGAAGAAAGGTGGGGGGGAGGAAGGGAGGGAGGGAGGGAGCTATGAGTGCATGAGGAAAGTCCATTGTGTCGATGGCGGAATGTCTGACACATGATTCTGGACGACAGGAACTCTTGAATCTTTTCGGACGTCCCATCTTGGTCCTTGCCGCCCCCCGTGTATGCATCCTAGCACCCATCTCTTTCCCCCTCTCCCCTTCATTTGTCCTCCGAGCTTTACCTTCCTGTTTAATCCGTGTTAAAGAAAAGGGGAAAAAGCCACCGTGAGGATCTCACGGTGCGGAATTCCGCGCGGGCGTCCTGACATATCCCCCTGAGCCCTTACCGGCCCGCTAGCCCTCCCCACCCTTTCCTTGCCCCCCGCCTTCCAGTACACGCCGGGGCCCCTCCCTCTCTTGTCCACCCATGACTTACGTTTTTCTGGTAGTCTGTGCAGTCGTCGACGTAGTCGTCCTTCTCGCCCGGTCCCCCCACCAACGCGCCGTAGAGAATGTACGGATGCGGTTTGCGTGAGCAGTCGCACTTAGTGCCTTGGCAGGACGACGACCGGTGATGGGGGGCGCGGGGAAAGTCCTCGCTGGGTGTGGGAAGGAAGGCACGGGGGCGTGCATGTCAGTGTCGAGAAGCAGTGGATTCATGGACATACACATGCGGAGCGACAGCTGCCGGTGGGAGAGCTAGCATACAGAGCCAAGTACACGATGCCAGGGGGGAACCCTCTCTACTGCGCTTCCTATTTCCGATTCCTTTTCTCCCCTTTACCCGAATTTTTTGGCTTCCCACCCTCCTTC